TTTCTGTTAAGAGGGGACAGGATCATTTATTCTCTGTTAAACTTCCATCTAAAACTTTTCCAGAAACTGAAGAGAGGCAATGGGGTGTGTTCTCATTAACTAGAAAGTACAAATTGAGGAAATTAATCACCTATGACGAGGCTTGTCTTGTTTTAACATGAACATCGAGAACAAAGCAAATCTTAAGCTGTGAGGAAAATGGTTACTGCGTGTAGCACGATACCAACACCCTCCTTGATGACAGGAAGTGCCAGGGCACCAGCAACTGTAGCTTGTGGGGTGACGGACATCATGAGCTGTGCTCCTGTTGCCTGTATTCCTTGGGGCAAGCTTCTCAGCCACTAACAGCAATTATTTTTCTGAGAAAGCAATGACGAGTGCAGACTAGATCTTAACCACTGACCAGAGCTGCTGTCTACTGGCGGAAAGGCAAATTTTAGTCTGTAAATCGAGTATCTTCTTATCACCCAACAGAAGCAACTTAACTCACCAGCCCCTCATTTCCTTACTACCCGTTGCCACCAAGTTGAATGAGTTCTCAGGGATCTGTCAGCTACCTAAGGGGGTTTCGCTTCCTAAAGCAGTCCACATAAGAGTGACTCTGGCTACATTATCCATGTCGCATTACAGGTTGGGCGTCTCTTTCTTTTTTAGGATTTATTTTATTTATGTGTACAGAACTGGGGTACAGCCCCGATGTGCAGGGGCAGTGAGTGGGGAGCAGAACAGGCAGTCTGACTGGAATACACTGCTGAGGGGAGCAGCGGGCGGGTCAGGAGAGGTCTGCCGCACCATGTGGGTCATCTCCCTGGCCGGGGATCATACTAGCACTGATGGTGAGCTTCACGGTGTCTGCATTCTTCAAAGACTTCATAAAGTGGGTCTGCTAATTCTTCTTTACCTTTCTAACCTCTGTATTTCTCACTTTCCACTTTCTCTTGTGATTCTATTTCTCCCTTCCTTGTTTTTCGAGTTCCATATTTCTGAGGGTCAAAATGTCCAGAAAAAGGACTCTTACTTGTTTATAAAAAAACAACTTAAAATCGTTGTTAAAATCGTTGTACATGATTCCAAACTTTCCAAATTTACTTTAATCCAGAGATGTTTAAATGTTAAAAGATCCCTAGAGTTACCCCTCGTACCAAAAGAGTCCCAGTTGTCCTGTTTTAATGAATCCCCAGCAACCCCAACAGGATCTGTGGGCCAGTGTCAAGGCACAGCACATCAAGGAGGTGCAGATAAAATAGGAGGGGAAAGTCAGGACTCCTGGAGGCTGTTATCTGCCAGTGAGTTAGGATTAATATCCAGACCCTTCTCTGGAGCTTCCTGGCTAGTCTGCAGGGAGTTAACAGGGGTTATCAAAGCTTGGAATTTCCTGTAGAAAATGTTCTCTATGCTCAACTCTGTGAGCTCTGGCCCTGTGGTACCTGCTGCTAAAGCTACTGAAGCTTCCCCCACCAGTGTGGGGTGGGGGTCCCGGCAGGCAGGGAATGCCAGAAGCACCAGGGGTCAAACTGCCACCAGCATGAGGAAAGGGACACAGACAATAGCTTACCCACAGTGCCTTCCATTTGCTGATGAGATTCGGTAATATTCTTTACCTCCATGATTAACAAAAACTAAGTATGTATAAATCTTTCAAAATGTCTCATAAACTGTCAACCCTCTACCCCAGTTCTTTTGCCTCTGCCTTTCCCGACTCCCCAACAGTTGGCTCAGCTGCTCACCCTATTTTAAGTTTGGTGTCTCCCCTAAGCTTGAGCCAACTAAGGACTGAAGCAGGAAGTTGTTTGCCTGTAACGGGCACCTGAGGTTAGAAGCCTGTATCCCCCAGTGCACCCTGGTTTTTAGGCCTCAGCTTCAACTGGACCCTCACTCCAACTCCAACCTGGCAACCACAAAACTGCTAAACAAGACTAAGACTCTCCCCTGGCCTGCTCCATCATTCTCATGCCCTCAATTCTTTTCAAGAATGTTGAACTAAATAACAGCTCCAACATAATTCTCATGAGATAAAAAAAAAAAAATTGTCAAAATCCCTCAGACACCTTTAACTGAAAATGGCTGAACCTTCCTCTTGTCCCCACTTCAGGTGTGTTAAATCCTGAAGTACAATGATACTGCTATCCTTAGGAGGTGAAACCAGAATATAGAAATTATTTAGTTCCCAGAAACCCAAAAGGAACATCCATAATCTGTAATGGAGAACAGCAGCAATAAATGAACTCCATAACCAGAGATAATTCCCAAACCTCACATGGTCTTTACATTTCAAAGTATCCCCATTTACTGCTTAATGAACTGTGAGGTACAAAAGCTCAAACAGGTTTATTCCTCTTTTCTTTCCTTTGACTACTGCTTGGTAGAGACTTTTAAAAGTGTTTTTATGGTATCTCAATTGTATTTCACTTAAAAAAAATGGCCAAAATATGAACAGCTGAGGATAAAAAGAGGCAAAGAGCCCAGCTCAGTAACAGCACAGCAACAATTAGCTGGAGACAAGCGGCAGCTGTCTCTTTCAGTCGACCTCAGACCCACTACCCACCATCAATTTATGGTTCCTGCCTGCCCCCGTAAGTGCTGGAGTTTTCAATCTCCGGGACAGATAATACACAGGCTGAATAACCAATCTCTGACTGACTGACTGGATTAGTTTTCTAGTACCATTGTTAACAAATTACCACAAACTGTGGCTAAAAACAACACAAATGTATTCTCTTACAATTGTGCAGATTAGACACCTGGCATGACTTCCTATTGGGTTCCAATCAAGGTTTTGGCAGAGCTGTGGTCTTTTCTGGATATTCTTGGGGAAATCGATGGCCTTGCCTTTATCAGAGGCTATCTGCATTTGTTGGCCTGTGGCCCCCTCCTCCCTCTTTAGAGTCAGAAACCCAGCACTGCTCTCTCTCTACCACTGATGCTGTCTTCACAACTCTTGCCTCCTCTTCAGCCTACCTCTTTCACTTATAAGCACCCTTGTGATTACACTGGACCCACCTTCATAATCAGGATAACCTCCCTATCCTCTGATTAGCAACTTTAACTCCCCTTTGCTGTGGAAGGAACATTTATAGGGATTAGGACATAGACATCTTTAGTTTTTGTGGTAGGCAGAATAATAACCCCCAATCTGGATTTCATAAATTGTGAAAGAAAATTAAAAGCATGAACTTTTTACAAGTAACTGTATTTTGATTCATAGTATATGGGCACTGTAAAAGTTACGTGAACTTAGGGTAAAGGACTACGGGCGCTTTGATGGTGGGGCTGGTGTGGCAACATACATCCAAGGAGGTGAAGCCATTCCCCTACATCATGGACACTGTTGTAAACCAGTGTTACCACAGTAAAGAAAAAGTTATATGAAAAGCAAATTATAACTTAAAGACACTAGGGAATACTACTGAAAGGAAATCCTTTGCTGAATTGTTTTGTAAAGATATTACTTCCCAGATGCCTTGTTTTATCTGTCCAGATTTCCATACATTAACTCCCATACATATTTACTTGTTTTATCCACACACTGTACTTACTAAAGCTTAAATGTGTGTAGAAAACATTTCAATATTTTAAGACTTAATGCAAGGGAGGGGAGAAATATGACATCGAAATATTTTCCGACAATCTGCACAGAATCACCAGCACTGTCTCACTATTTTTCTGAAAGTGGTAAGTCTGACCGGAGATACATGATAACAGAGCTGTGGGCTGCATTCAGCTAGTGAGCACTAACAGCAGGCTGGTCAACAGCATAAGCTCAAGCGCCAGCCTGCCTGGGTTCAAATCCCCTCTGCAAACAGAAAGCTGGATGTGTTTAGGTTAGTTGCTGAATTTCTCTCTGCCTGATTTTCCACATCTGTAAACTCACAAAAACTACAGTACCTATACAACATAGGCTGTTGTGAGGGTTAAATGAGATACAGGACCTAAACCACAGTAGGATGCCTGGCACGTATTAAGGCCTCAGTAAATAACTTTGCTTCTCATGGCTACATATGCTTAGGCACAGGAGACATTTAGGAAGGAAGCATCCACAACTTGAATTCATTATTTTCAGGGCTTCAAAATGAAAGTGAGAACAAGATATGGCCATTAAATGGAAAGCAGCAGGCAAAATATTAAATTAAGATAAAATTTGACTCTTCCCTGATAGACACCCATGGTTTCTGCTTGCAGGCGATGTGAAAGATAGAATGACCTTCAATACTTAATGGAAGTGTGAATCATCCTCAGCAAACCACATGAGCTTATATTGAATGTCTGAAAGTACAGTTATATTTGGTATCAGAGAATAATTTGTTTCTCTGCTCTGAAGCTTCCAGTAGCTTGTTAGTTTTACCTTTGGGCTTTCATGGCACATCACAGCCTCCCCAACAAAAGGCAATCTCTTATCTGGGGCATTCAAGGCCCTGCACACTTTATCACTCACTCTGTATCTACCTTTGGCTCACACAAACTCCTTAAAGTCATTATTCTGGCCAAACCGCAAAATTCTCGAGTTCTGCCAGCACTAAGGTAGTGGTTTGTACAACAGGGGACTGGGTATGCTTGTTGTCTAGTAAAGGTACTGGAAGCCAGGGACCCATCTTAGTCAAGTACTTTTCCCATTGTGATTAGCACGTGATAAGTGCCTAACTAATGTTTGCGGAAATAAATGGATTAATCTTATCTTACCTAATCATTACATGCATTCCCACATACAAACCTTTGACACCCTTTTGTTTCAAAGCTATTTTCTTCAACTGACAGCCTCCTCATTCAGACTTCCTGATGCAGAAGATAATAATTGCATTTCTTTTCAAAGTTGCACTTCTAAATTTATCCTGAACTTTCAGATTTTTTTAATTCTATATATCAATATGAATTATCTCATAAGAAGAGTTTTTGTTTTTTGTTGTTTTTTATTTTCGCCAAGGTTCACCACACAAATACTTCCAGACATGGTACTTATGACAAAATCTTTAAAATGATGGAATAATGTAAAAACTACTCCTTACCTTCATGGTGACTGTGATGGTGCTATTTACATTTGCTTTATGCAACCAACCTTGCTTTATCACACCACCCTTCTGAGAACATAAAGAAGATGAATCCTGAAATAGAGTAAAGAACCCTAAATGAGACATCAGCCAGTCAGCCACCTAATCCAACATTTGGGGGCACAAACTAGACCCTGCCCTATTTTCTAATTAAAGTAGGAAGTTCCCTGTTTTCCCAAAGATGCCTAATTACACCCAAAATTATTAATCAGAGAAGGAAAGACTCTGTGCCGTACATACAGTAGGTACTCAATAGCTACTTAATCATATGAGCTGTCTTATGGGTACCTGAAAATGTCACAGACATCCAAGCCATCTGTCCCAAGAAAGACCGAGCTATTGGGCAGTGTGTGACAGACACGGGCCATTCTGGGCTCTCAGACTCCAGATAAATCACCAACACCAACACGTGCCCACAAGCGTGTACGCAGGTGGGAAAACGTGTTTATATCCAAATCATAGCCCCTATTTTTACTTGATGTTTTTCTTTAGCTCCAGTTGGAAATGTACCGATTTCTCCAAAAATCTAACAAACCCTTCCATGTTTGAAAACTAGCCATAGATTATTCAAAAACAATTTGTTCTCTTGTGTTTTCTCAAAGAAATCTCTCAGTCTCTCAATAGAAGAAGCCAGTGCAGTTGCCCCCAGTCTCTCAACAGAAGAAACCAGTGCAGTTGCCCCCATCGTTACCTCATCTTTCTCACAGTCCTCATCAATCTCAAATACATGATTGGGAATCTTTTCTGGTCTCAGAGATTTGCTGAAAATGCAAAATAATTTTCTTAGACAAAAAAAAAAAAAAAAACAGATAAGAAAACAAAAGCAAAATCAGTAGAGGAGAAGTTTCTTTCACAGCCAAGAAAATAGAAGACCTGAGTAAAAAACTTTGCTATTTCCAAACTCGGATTCTCCCAACTAAACCTTCTTTTTCTGGAAGGGCTTCCATACATACAGCCTGCAGCAAAGCTGTAAGAAGCCCAAATACTTCAGGGGTGTAGCTGTTAACAACTGCCAGAACTGTTAGTGGGGGCAGAACCTTAACTCACCCCAGGTCAAAAAGCAACACAGCAGCTCCTCCACCTGTTGGCTGTATGACCTTGCATGGGTCGTTCTTAGGCTCAGTTTAAAGAATATTTTTTTAAAGATTTATTTATTTATTCATACAGAACTGGGGTACAGGCCAGAGATGCAGAGGGTGAGACTATTCACCAGAGACAGAGTGGGGAGCAGAACAGGCAGATCGACGAAGTACACTGCTGAGGGGAGCAGCGGGCGGGTCAGGAGAGGTCTGCCGCGCCATGTGGTCACCTCCGGGGCAGGCGGGGATTGAACTCATGCGGAAGTGGCTTAAGCTTCTCAGTGCTGTGCTTTAACCCGCTGCGCCACCAGGGAGGGCCCTTAAAGAATATTTTTAGTACTTAGTTTCCTCCTTTTGGAATGTGCTTTGAAAACTACAGAAGTCTTATTTCTCCAAAACAATTCCCTTAAGGTATCCTCTGAGGTTAGTAGTGTCATACACAAGAACAGGAGAAAAGCAGGAGCTCAAAGACATTGAGTAGCCCCAAGTTATCCGGATAGTGACAGAAATAAGATTTGAACCTCAAAAGTCTGGCTTCTGGGCCACTGTGCTCACATTAGTCCTTCAACTCAACCGAAAGAGATGGACTTTTGTCATGGGGTACACCTTGGGGTCAGCAACTTGAGTTAAAAATCTTTTCGGTTTTTTATTTTTTTCATTGACACCACTGGGAAATGCTCACTTCATTATCAAACAAAGACGACTGTACGGTCAATACAGAGGAACCCAAGCCAAAAAGTGAACTCATACATTTTGGGAAGGATTTCAATGCGCAATGTTAAAACATACGCACACACCCAAAAGACTGCCTTCACCAAGCATGCAGGTCAGTTGAGATTTTGCTGTACTATAAATTATAACTGAGAAGTTTCCTAGGTGGTTTTATAAAAGGTAAAATATTTAATAATTCACCTCTTGAATGCTTCCCTTGAATTCTAAACTTACCATGGCAACATTCGAAAGTCCCCAGAGAAGTCTTCATACTTGTAGTTTACCACATGCCAATCTGTGCTGTAGGTTTTAATACACTGAAAGAAAAGAGGAAAATTTAACCTGAAATGTGGAAAGTACAAATAGACCCACTTTTTAAAAAAGTGATAACGAACTGATGCTTTTAAAATTCATTTGAGAAATGTTAGTACTGGAACCTTCCGTTAAGGATTAAAAGTGTCTTCTTAAACCAACTGGGGGCAAGCATTCCAAACTCATGTTCTTTTAAATGTTCTGCCTCTAAGTCTGGGACATATTCAAATTTTTAAAAAGCAGACTAGAATACTTGCTACTTGTGAGAGATTTAAGCCTGTATCTTCAAACTTGTCATGTAGCTCAGTGAGATTACAGTAATTCCACTTTCTAGTCACATGAAAGCAAAAAATTCCAAATCTAAGATGAATATTCTGTGGACTCTGAATTTCTTACCTCTTTGACAAACAAACTTTGGGCCCTTTTCTCCCCATCCTCTGGTACAGTGGATTGCACTGTTCTGTGATGACGATTTATTACTGAGATCTAGAAGATAAAAAACATCCTAGCTATAAGAACTTGAAAAATGCAATTTTCTTCCCTTTTAAAAAAATGCTTTCGAACTCACAGATATATCTTCCATTGGAAACATAAGCAGGTCTCTGAGGGGGTCACTATAAATCTGGGTTTTTCTTTGGGTGATAACATTCTCATAGTCCAAGGGCTCAACGACTTTGGTCTTTTCCTTTAGTGAGAGACAAAAAAAAAAAAAAAAAAAAAAAAAAAAAACAATGTTAATGTAATCAAACTCACAAGAAATAAATTCCTCTCCCTGTGCTTGTTACATTATTTCACAAAAGTAGGGATTGCAAATAGCTAGAAGCACTCAAAAGAGACAATTCCATAGGAGACATAGACTGCAGAAATATACACACACCAAACACACACACACAAACACAAACACACACACACACACCTCTGCTAAAGACAAGAGTTCTAGAGAGACAGCACCATGCTCTGCTTACCCAGGTTGCTTCTAAAAGAATTACTAAATGTAAGGTGAAAAACAGTGTATTTGGAAGGCTGTCAGTTGACATTTATTGAATATGTACTACTTAATGGATAACAAGAGTGTTTTGAGAAAGTATCATTCATGTGTCTACTCTGTACCAAGAAACTGTCCAAAGGATGGATCATGATATAATGACACTGGCCCAATTACCCCAGCTGCCCTAGTGACCATGTTACTCGCACATATATGTACCAAGGAAGCCAACTGAGGTCCGGCTCACTGGCCCAATGACCCCAGCCACCACACTGCATGTCAGGATCTGCTCCATGGCCCCAGAAACTGTACCTACCAACTGGGAACACCCAGAATAGTGAAAGAGGAAGATCCATGGGAATCTCAGAAGAGAGAGAAGGGAACTAAAAAGCTATTTAAAGAAATAATGGAAGAAAACTTCCCAAACCTGAAGGAAGTGAACATGCAAATACAGGAGGCTAAAAGAACAACAAGCTTCCTAAATAAAAGGAGACCCATAGCAAGACACGTAGTAGTAAAACTTCCAAGAGTCCAAAAACAACAATAACAACAACAATAATAATAATAATAATAATGAGTTTGATGAGGGGCTAAGAAACAGATAACCTATAAAGGAACACTGGTTAGGCTAGTGTTCTTCTCTGAACAAACAGTAAAGGCAAGAAAAGAATGGAGTGACATATACAAAGTACTCCAAGACAAAAATGCCAGCCAAGAATACTCTATCCTGTAAAGCTCTCTTTATGAGGGAGAAATAAAGATCTTCTCAGACAAACAAACCATTGGGAAGTTTTCAACCACTAAATCCCTCTTGCCAGAAATAGTAAGAGGAGCTTTAGTAATTAAATCAAAGAGAAGAATGAACACAGAGAACTGAACAAGAAAATAAACAGAACCACAGCACTATGAATAAAATGGTAGTAACAGAGTTTCACATATAGGTAATAATTCTAAACGTCAATGGACTGAACTCACCAATAAAAAGACACAGGAGTGTGTCTGGTTGGATTAGGAAATCCAACCTCCTGCTGCCTCCACAAAATGCACCGAAGATCGACAGATAAATACAGATTGATAGTAAAGTGTTGGAAAACAATTCTACAAGTAAATGACAATCAAAGGAAGGCAAGAAAAGCAACATGTTTATCAGATAAAATAGACTTCCAGCTGAAAAGAGTGACAATTGACAGGGCTGGATTCTGCATAAGGATCAAAGGAAAAAACTATCAGGAAGACAAACATTCACCAGTGTATACTCAACAAACCAAGAAGCACTAAAATATATTAGACAGTTACTAACAAATATGAAAACACACAATAGACAAAATACATACGTGGTAGGAGAAAATATATAACTGTCTTACCAATGGACAGATCAACCAGACAGAAAATAAACAAGGACACAATTGACCTAGGCCACATGGGCCTAACATGTATAGGGCACTGAACCCCCCTAAAAGTGAATACATATTTTTCTCAAGTGCCTATGGAACATTCTCTAGGACTCATCACATACTGGGTCACAAGTGAAATATCAACGAGTATATTAAGACTGAAATCATACCAAGTATGTTCTCTGATTCAGATACCAAACTAGAAATCAACTATAAAAACAAAGCAAGAAGATCCTCCAGTATGTGGAGACTCAACAACACATTAGTGAAAGACCATTAGGTTTATGATGAACTCAAAGAAGGCATAAAAAAATAATTAGAGACAAATGATAATGAGGACACAACCTTCCAAAAGTATGGAACACGAAGCAAAAGTAGTACTAAAAGGGAATTATATAGCAATAGAGAAACACATCGAGAAACAAGAACCAAAAAAAAAAAACCTAATGTCTCATCTCAAGGAACTAGAAAAAGGACAAATAAACCCAAAACAAACAGAAGAAAGTAATAAAAATTAAACCAGAAAAAAAAATGAACTAAAAGTAAAAAAGACAGTCTAGAAAATCAATGGAACCAAAAAGTAGGTACTTGGAAAAAATAAACGAAACAGACAAACCTTTAGCTAGGCTCACAAAGAAGGGAGAAAACTCAAGTCAAACAGAATCAGAAATGAGAGAGGAAAAATTACAACAGATATCCAGAGGATAATAAAAGCTTATTATGAACATTTATATGCAAAGAAGTTCAACTATCTATATGAGATGGACACCCGAGGCTGAGTAAGGACGAAACAAAGAACTTGAACAACCCATCACAAGCAAGGAAATTGAAAGAGTAATCAAAACCCTCCCCAAAAACAAAAAGACGAAGCCAGCAGGAAAATTATAGAATTGAGACAGAAGCAGCAGAGAGGAAGGGAAAGGAGCCAAAACAAGGAAGGGAAGAGAGTAAGGGATTATGGGACATTTCATGGAGTGCTATGATGGTGGGGGAGTTTGGGGACTTACACCTGAGGAGGAAAATCAAGTATTGTACAAAAATGAACAATGATGTAAGAAAATAGAAAACAAAACAAAAACCCTCCCTAAGAACAAAAGCTCAGGACCTTTTTTTCTTAAGTGAGTTCCACCAAACTGTCAAAGAAAAACTAGTAACTATCCTGCTCAAACTTTTTAGAAAAATGGAGAAGGAATACTTCCAAATGTATTTTATGAAGCCAACATCACAGTAATACAAGAATAATAGAGGCAAAGAAAACTACAGGCCAATCTCCATAATGAAAACAGATGCTAAATCTTCAATAAAATCATAGCAACCCAAATCCAACAATGCATTAAAAGGATTATACATCCCCCCACACCCCCAGTGACACAAAGGGTTAATCAAGCCTCAGCACTATGAAGCTCTCTGAAACCACTGCATCATGAGCTTGATCCCCAGCTGGGGAAGTGACCCACATGGCACAGCAGATCTCTCCTGACCAGCTCACTGCTCCCTTTACAGTGTATTTCAGTGAATCTGCCTGTTCTGCTCCCCACTCTCTCTGCTGAATCCTCTCACCGTCCCGGCACCTCTGGCCAATGCCCCAGTTCTGTATGCATAAATAGATAAATCTTTTAAAAAATAAGTAAAGCTGAGGGAGAAGATCATAACAGACATATTTCAAGTTATAAACTTGGAACTGTAGACCCATGAGATCCAATCGAGCTCATCATTGCTATCGTTACCTGAGAACACTGGGGCAAATTAGTTGAAAAGGGAAAAAAATTGTATCTGTAGATTTTCCAATGGGAAAATATGACCCTCTGAACCCACATCTGTGTCTCGATGGACCCAAGTGAATGAAGACTGTGACTGCATCTTCCAGGCAATGACTTTCTCAGAGGCGTGAGATAAGTAAAGCCGCACCTCCAAAAGCAAGCCTGAGTTACTGAAAATAACTCCAATGTCTCGCTTTTGGTGCCAACCCTCCAACACTGACTCAAATTTCAGTGCTTAACCTGTTGAATTAGCCTCTGTTCATCTCTCTATATAATAAGTTCACAAGTACCTGCTTCAAGGAACTTTGAAAAACAACAACAAAAATTCTCCTTCAACTTCCTAATGTAGCTGTCAAATTAATACGGAAAAGCATCTGTCGAAATCAATCACTTCTGCCCCAAACCAGATGCATAGCTCTGGATACAGGCGCAGTGGAACACCACTCAGTTGTGAAAAAAGATAAACTCTTGCCATTTGTCTCAGCCTGAATGGAGTAGGAAGGGATTATGCGGGGGGAAAAAAGTCAGGGAAAAGACAAATACCAGATGGTGTCACTTATATGTGGACAGAGAAAGCAAAGTGTCAGACAGAATCAAACCAGTAACAAACCCTAGAAATCTTCCTGCAGAGCTGAGGCTACCGGGGTGGGGGGGAAGCAGACTGGGGCACAGGGGACTTTGGTGGAGGACTATGGGTATTTTGGCGGAAGGTATCAGGTGGTTAAGAGCACTCTAAGGGGAAGATCCTTCAATATCTCTAAATCATGTACAACTTTGTAAACTAGTGTTTCTCCATTAAAACAAAATAAAACATAAAGGGAAAAAGGAATGACTTCTTTGAATGTGCCCTATATTATACCTTTTAAAAATGAAACCACCCCACATATTTTGAATAACACATTCACATTATTAAAAAAAAACAAACATAAGGTTTCACTTTTCATTTAACCCTCATTAACCTAAGCCTTCTGGGTCTTCAGTTCCAAGTCCTTTGTCAGGGGCAGCATGATTGCAGAAAAAGTTGGGGTGATTAATCTGAATCCCACAAAGCTTTCCCTAACAAATTATCTAGGTCTGTGAATCAGAATAAAAAGACTGTGCACCATGTGTAACCCCCATTTCTTCTCCACCCCTCTTCCAGCCATCAAAAGCACAATTCAAATAGAATGTAGAAGAGAAAGGGACAACAGTAGCAATCAGCCCCAAAGAAACACCCCCCCCATTTCCCTTCCAGGGTAACTCAGCTCTTACTCCATTGGCATTTAAAGACAAGGAACATCTTTGACATCCAGAATGGTCATGATTTAATGGTGGCTCTGCCCTGCGGTACAGTACATATTCCTTGGTGAACTTTCCTATTCAGCTTCATCATTTTTTATTAGACTTACTGGGTTTAGCCTAAACAAAGTTCCACCAAACACAGAAACAGTCTTTCTCTGAGGGTTATAAGTTATCCTTCCTGCTCGCTTATGCAGAGTGGCAGAAAACAGGGCAAACAGGGCATACAGGGCTTTTGTATTCACTCACAAAACCTGTGTTCTAATAA